CCCTGTGTATAAAAACATACATCTTACTGAGTTATGAGCCTTGTGCTCCGTTCTCCGTTACTAAGGACAAGCTGACTAACTTTTCTCGGGAGAAACTTCTCCTTTAACCATTACCTTGCTATGGTGGACCTTATGAAGGGGGCTGAGGCGTCGTGGTTTATCGCCACCTATCAGGAGACAGGAACCAAGCCTCACCCGCAAAACATCAAAGTCTAGTCATCCTCCTGAGTATGGTATTGTGCTTTATGAATGAAGCTTTTGACATGTTGACATTTCAAAAAGTAGCATCATCAATACCATTAGCAGATTAATGATCTAGACCCCCATTCCTTGAGCCATCGGCTCCAAACCATCTCATAGTGTTAGAAAGTAGCATTATCAATACCATTAGCAGATTAATGATCTAGACCTCCATTCGTTGAGCCATCGGCTCCAAACCATCTCATAGTCTTAAAAAGTAGCATCATCAATACCATTAGCAGATTAATGATCTAGACCCCCATTCCTTGAGCCATCGGCTGCAAACCATCTCATAGTGTTAGAAAGTAGCATCATCAATACCATTAGCAGATTAATGATCTAGACCTCCATTCGTTGAGCCATCGGCTCCAAACCATCTCATAGTCTTAAAAAGTAGCATCATCAATACCATTAGCAGATTAATGATGTAGACCTCCATTCGTTGAGCCATCGGCTGCAAACCACTTCATAAATTCTCTTCTACCGTGCCATTTTGTTAAGAAAAGCTGGACCCAGTTAACAAATGCTGACAATTTTAAATTTCCCTGACTTTCTATCACAGTGAAAACAGGTACATTATTGTCAGGTATTTTCAGTTTAAAGGTCTTATTCGGAATTCTGCTTCGAATTTTATAGCGATCCCATTAAAGCTCTAGGAAAAGTAGATGATACTAACCGTGCGTCCCTCACAAAGTACTTTGATGAGGTTTAGCAAGCAGTTAGACCTAAGTCCTAACGCAGAGTTAGGCCTAACTTTGGCTCCCCTTGTCCCGATAATATTGTAGTAAAATCGGGAATCTGTATCAGCATCTTCATTCTTCCACAACACCTGACTTATGTAATTGTCAACGTTGTATTGATGCTTTTCATACAAAGTTTAAAAAAATTCTTCATGTCGTGCATTCTGGGTTTGGACAGGATATGCCCGCTTAAAATATTTCCATCACGTTACATTACATAATTCTCAATAAATGTAATAGATTAGTAGTGTTGTAATTAGTATATTAAAAACTAAAGCTATAATGTTGCAGGATGAATCGTTCAATCAAACTGTTTATTGTGCAATGGTTACTCGGTTTTCTTGTAGTCACTCAATCACAGTTTACAGGTGAGCTAATCGTATTATTAATGGTCGATGCGATATTTTATTTATTGATGTCATAAATGAATAGAAACTTAGATTAGAGGATTTATCATTTAAGCAGCAAATTGGGAGTAGAATGTATCTATCTGATATCGGGTCTAATATAATATCGTTGTAGAGCCAAGGTCAGAGGAAGCAGAAATAACTCCAACAGAAGTTACACACGGAAAAACGTACAATAACGAAGAGGAACGTTATGCAGCAGCACATGCAGTTGATAAAGACCTCTCAACAGTAGCAGTCACTGAAACTGATAACGGAGCAGTCTGGTTAAAACTAGAGTTTGATAGAATCCATTTTATCCACAAGGTTCAAATATACTGGGTGTTCTTCACTAACTGGTACCTGCCAAGTGATTTATGTGCAAGAAGTGAAGCTTACTTTAGGTTCTGTGTGGATAAAAGTAACAACGTAGATGTGTCAGTGTACCAGGGAGAGGTAAAACAGGGGTCTTGTGGAACACTCCAACTAACATACGGACTAGAGCAGGCAGACCAGATCTACACACTGATATGTAACACTGAAGGAGATTCTGTAAAACTCAGTAAGACAACAGAACTTTTCATGCTGGTATCCGAAGTTGTTGTGACCGGAACAGGTACTTCAATAAATACTTTGAAAATAGTTTGTAACTTAATTCTAGGAACTCTACTTAAATCATTGAACAAATTTTGCAATCATTCTGACACGTACGTAAAATTAATAAATTTACAGTAACATTCAAGTATAAAGAAGCAATCAAGCTAGCATTTAGTAAATAGTACTTCGTATTTCAGTTCGGAGACGAGAAATATTCGAGATAACTCCAACAGGAGTTACACAAGGAAAAACGCTCCAAAACAACGAGGATCTTTTTGCAGTAGCACATGCAGTTGATAAAGACCTCTCAACGTCGGCAGCCACTGAAACTGATAACGGAGCAGGCTGGTTAAAACTAGAGTTTGATAGAACCCATTTTATCCACAAGGTCCTTATCTACTACCGGTTCTACACCAACTGGTACGACCCTGATAATTGGTGTGTACAAAGTGAAGCTAACTTTAGGAACTGTGTGGATAATAGTAACAACGTATATGTGTCAGTGTATCAGGGAGACGTAAAACAGGGGTCTTGTGGAACACTCCAACTATCATACGGACTAGAGCAGGCAGACCAGATCTACACACTGATCTGTAACACTGAAGGAGATACTGTAAAACTCAGTAAGAGTACTGGAAACATACTTGTCAATGAAATTGCAGTGTTCACAGGTAATTGGTCTCTTTCGTGGATCGCGCATTTGAGCAAGCTAGCGTGGCTAAATTTTATAAAATAGTGAGCGATGTTCTCTTCAAGTAAATTTTGTTTGGATGTTGATGTCTTTTTTAAGACATACTAACACGTCACAGAGCATGGGTGACAGGCGACTTGGTTATTTTCCATGTAATCCTCTACTACGCGACTGATTATGATGCAGCGAACAAAATTCACAAACTTCATCAACCATTAACTCAGATATCAAATTAATAAAATGCCCATACGGAGCGGAAAAACGCTCAGTCGAATAAAACAAATGACAAAACAACGTATTGATCATCTCTTTTGATTGGAAATAGTCTCTTAATCACTGACCAAATAAACAAATTCAATAATTCAATTATCTAAAGACCAATGACCATCCTAGTGTTATGTCACTAACGATGCTATATAAATCAATGGTTAATTCTTCCAGTCATACACATAACGTTTCTTTTAAGGGGGCCGGGGGGGGGGGGGGGGGGGGGGGGGGGTCTTCATCAAAATTCTCTCGAAATTGACTTTATAGTTGTTTCTGGTAGAGGGGAGTGATATCTACCAGCTGCTTTTGGTCCCATCGAAAAATATTGTTCCTAGCCGAAATTATCGCCGGTCTAAGGTCAGCGCTTATGTGTAAATTGTATTAAAAATCTATCTCCTCCTACATTTTTTGAGCAATCACCCTGAAACTTTCAGGATATGTTCTAGGGACCATTTAGAAGATTTGATCGAGCCAAAATTTTGAGATAGGCCTTTAAAAATTTTTTGTTCAATTTTGAAAATCTTGGACCTCGTTTTTTTACGATTTTTTCAGGTCCAAGATTTTCAAAATTGAATATATGTATATCATTCCCTTCTACCAGAAACAACTATAAAGTCAATTTCGAGAGAATTTTGATGAAGACCCCCCCCCCTGGCCCCCTTAAGTGCAATGAAATTCTTTTTCTCCTCCGCCTCTAAGAGAGCAACCGAAGGTATGAAAATCTACATCCAAGGCACGCAGATAAATAACAGGAACAGTGTACGGGAAGTACCAACTGGACATCTGCCTCCCCCGCCCTCCCCCGCCCTCCCCAACCCTCCCGCTGCCGCCCCTCCCTTAGTATATTGTTGATATATTGATTGTACCCCGTCAAACAGCCTCAAGTCATAATAAGCTGGGAAATCTGTCTGGAAACAAGTTCAGCGGAGGAAACCCTCGTAAAGTGAGTCACTGGTTTTCCGGAGGGATCTAACAAGTAATAACAGGTATCTGAGTGCTGATCCGCATGCAATTCACTGGGCTGCTCCGCATGCAATTCACTGGGCTGCTCCGCATGCATTTCACTGGGCTGCTCCGCATGCAATTCACAACAACGAATGAATAAACTCTGTAACCGGTCACCACTGCCTTGCAGCACAACTACATTTGATAATTGTCTATTCGCAGTGTTATCCAGAGCCATGTCTTGAGTGTCTGTTAAAACTGCTGACTGAAACTGAAATTTCTCCAGAGAATCCACTTTGGGTACGACCATCATCCTCCCGTCACACTCAATTAATTCTGTATCTGAACATGATTCTAAGGACAATATAGCGGCAATTTCTGTCAATAACTCGAGATCAATTTTAGTAACTCGAGTAATAGATTGATGATCGAAACAAACTAAAAACCACTTTTCAAGGAAATCTCCGCCAACCTGGTCTGTCTGTCCATCATCTCCAACCAACATGAAACCCTCCAATGGATGAAGATCAGAGTTTACAAAATTTCTTTTGAAGATTGATCTGACCTCAAATATGTAGTCTAATAACGAGATAAGGAGAACAGTGCTACAAACTGTAAACGTAGCTCTGTAGAAATAGTTTCCTCTTTTTTCTTCTCTGTGGTTGAAAGTTGAAGTTTTAGTTCGAATTGAGGTTACTGCTGCAGGATTGAAGGATATAATATGATGGCATGCTAACTTTCTGTTGCAGATACAGGCTCTTGGATGATGAGATCTGATTAGTGTTATCTAAGGTGAGGATGTCAGGATTCTTTTATAGTGACCACTTAGTAACATGACCTGAGTACATTGGTGGTTTAAAACCTATTGTAAGTGGTAAGTTAGTCTGGTCATTTTTAAGTAGTCACTCGTTGTGTTCAATGTCTCGACTTTTGAATATCACGATATTTCTTTTGAAATATTTAGTATTTATTTGATTGCCACAAATTACTTGATTGTAGGTGAGCGTTCTTGTTGAGAGTTCGTAAAGTTAGATTGTGGATGAAAATAATATCAAAAAGTTTATTATGTGAAAGGTTCGTCCGTTTTCTTTCAAAATTAACATTTACATGATTGAAGACATTCAAACAAATTGATGAAGTTTACCAAATTCGAAATATACAAAAAAAGATGACAAAAAATCAAAAATAACACATTTCATAACACTACATCTGGTTTTTTATCATAAAAATCGCACAAATATCATACAATATAACATATTCAACAGTGATGAACAAATCCATGAATTGATGCAAGAATTTAAAAATATAGTTCACCTCGCAACCACAAGTCAACAAGTCAATAGCCTAATTTCTTAATACATACCTTAATTTGAAATGTTTAGTGTTTAGTTTTAGTTTTAGTTCACATTCCACGGCTTATCTGAAAAGTGTACTTATTCATGTTCTCAGTCCAGGACGACATTTCTTTTTTAAGTTAATCTTTTTAATTATTGTATCACTGATAAAGAGTGTTTGTAGGTACAGACAATACGCAACATCCATTTTACTCGGCAGATAAGAGAATTATGGGAGTTTTTAAGATATATAAAATGCTGGTTTGAATCGCTGGTTTGAATGTTCCTTACATTCTAGGGTCGAATTTCCTAACTTTCAGTCTTCAAATTACAAGCAACATGTTTCCAACCAAAAAGTCAAGAAACTTTCATATATATTTTCTGATTTCAACAAATCTCAGCTCATAATCCACGTCTACGTGGTTTTACTCGTGGAATCAGCACCAATTATCTAATTAGCAGCACATTATCTGCAAGAACTCTAAATCCCTCTAATTAGCTCTGAGACTGCCATCAAGTAGAGGTTGTGATCCCTCGAAATCAGCTGATATCTCAGCAAACCCAGTTGTGCGAGGGGAGGCGATGCACTTGATGTAGATAATCTCGTTGTAGAGCAGGGTTCCTAACATGAGCAGAGCAAACCCGCCAATCTGTACAAACCCGTACCTGAAATAATAGAGATTAGAGCAAACCTACCGATCTGTACAAACCCGTACCTGAAATAATAGAGATTAGAGCAAACCTGCCGATCTGTACAAACCCGTACCTGAAATAATAGAGATTAGAGCAAACCTGCCGATCTGTACAAACCCGTACCTGAAATAATAGAGATTAGAGCAAACCTGCCGATCTGTACAAACCCGTACCTGAAATAATAGAGATTAGACGCAATACTTATCTCAATACAATTGCTATGTACGTTCTTTCTACCAACTGATAAAGTCCTAAGACTTAACCCATTAGGGACGATAGGGTCGTTTACGACCCACCTTTTCTAGAGGCTATAGAGGACAAACCAAAATACCAAACGCCACGAATCTTTCGCACATATGCTCAAAATTTATTGGGCTACATTATTGACTTTCCAGTCGAGACCCAATTAATCACAAACAATTAAATAATTAGACTAATTAGTCGTCATAATTGGAAAATATTTCACTTTACTTCTTGCCTTGATTGGGACATAAAAACTTTATGTAGGCTTATTTTTTTGAGAACAAAATAGTTGCGGGCAACGATTTTCTTTAGACAAATGAAAAGCTCGTGATAATCAAATGTTCACAAACAGAGCTAGACACTGTTTACTGACTGCGGTCGCATACGACCCTCTCGTCCGGGTCGCAAACGACCCATCACAGTTTTTCGGCTTTAACTTCTGAAACAAAGACGTTAGGATAAAATAAAAACTGTAGCATAAGTTAAAAACATATGATCAATACTGTGTGACTCTAATTTTTTAGAAATAAAGAATTTGGGTCATTAACGACCCACTCGGCTCACTTGCTTATTACTACATATGTCCATGTAACTTCTTGAATTCAGCCTAAAACATGACATCATAAGTGCAAACTCGCCTCTCAGCAAGTTATTTTCATCATAAACTGCGAAAAATCGGTTAAATGGGTCATTAGCGACCCACTAGGACCACAAAATTGATTAATTAAATACAATGTTGTCAAACTTTTACAAATATTAATATAAAAACATATTATCTCTTGGTCATTACTCCTGTACGTTGATTTAACTTTTAAAATCGATCAACTGGGTCAATAACGACACACTCGGGAGTTGAACCACGTCATTAATTATCATGCTGTTCCACCATCAAGAAATCTCATTAAACTATTATATATATATAAAAAATAAGTATAAAGAATAAGGAAAAGGAACGGGAATGAAGCCAATACCAGAAGTGAAACCCCACCAAAGAATAATTGATCCTTAGGTAGACCTGGTGAAATAAAGTAACTGAACTGTAAGTATAAGAAAAGACGGAGGAATAAAGGAGAGAGGAAATAATATTATGTGAACATCATCAGCAGATGACTTGGCACACCGGTTTCGGGGGTTTAACACCTGTTTAATGTGCCAAGACCCCCTAGCAATCACTCGTCAGTGATCACCTGTCCACGTTAAATGTGATGTCAAGGATGTCGCTGACATCAAGTATACTGTATTTGTACAGAATACTAGGATACACTCGTAGGTCTTAATTCCACACAAACCACATTGGCTGACAACTAGCCCTTCTGAGATCCAGGGCCAACTGAAGGGCAGTCATCACTCATCAAAGAACTGCGAGAATAATACGACTGCATATACCTGGAGTTGCGTCCTGACTATGGTGCGTTGAAATCTGTACCGAAAGGACCGTGGCCGTGTCGCAAAAGAAAAGAAGATCGGCCCTCGTTCCTAACTTGCTAGGTAATAGCCATACTGTTGTTGTTGCTTATTAGATTCCGTTACCTTTTTCGTCAATTTCGAATCTTGGTAAACGACCTGCTACAACCCACCGCTTGAGACCTAGGGTCCCAAGGTGATCAGATCATTTCACTCAAGAAAAATCCCCTGAACGAAGTATACGAGATATGCTGTAACCTCGGGTAAATACTGAAAGAAGAGCGGTCAAATTGCATATTCTAATCCAACATGCCAATCTAATCTGTTTGACATTCCTAGAAAGTACGAGAATAACTAAACAACTGCTGCATTTAGATGGCTACATCTACAGCTCTGTGAGGAAAGACAAGGAAAAAGCCCCCCCGGCCCCCCTGGCGGTGCTGCAACCTGTAATCTCTCAGACAACTACTTCGTTGTGGGTAACAACCCCGTAACAACGAGGCAGCATTCAAAACGAAACCAAGTATTACGTAATCGGCCGAGAGGGATGGGGGTTTCCAAATGATTTTGATTACGCTAGTGTAATTTTGACATAATAGCTATGTGGTGGGGTGAGGGGGGGGGGGGCGGGGTAAAAATTGTCCAATAAGTGATTACGTAATATGTGAACGGCCCCTAAGAAGCAAAGAAAGGAAGCTGCGAAATGAGTAGATGCAGCCATCTGAAATCTGAATCCAGCAGTTGTATAATTCTTCTTAGACTTTCTATGAATCGGGAAAAGATAGGCACGTTGTTTGTTGTCTCACGACATTACGGTTGTGTACTAACAGCTGATAAACTTACCTACTTATCAATCCAATTCTGCCCATTATTCGTCAGTGATTGGGTGACGTGATCTGCAGAGTGCAGATCACCTTGAGACTCCAGATCTCAGGAGGGCTAGTGGTCATCCACCCGTGGTTTGTGTGGAATTAAGACCTATGAGTGTCTTTCTTGATGTTGGAACAGCATGATACTGATAATTAATGACGTGGTTCAACTTCCGAGTGGGTCGTTATTGACCCAGTTGATCGATTTTAAAAGCTAAATCAACATGCAGGAGTAATGACCAAGATATAATATGTTTTTATACTAATATTTGCAAAAGTTTGACAACATTCTATTTAATTAATCAATTTTGTGGTCCTAGTGGGTCGCTTATGACCCATTTAACCGATTTTTCGCAGTTTATGATGATAATCACTTGCTAAGAGACGAGTTTGCACTTATGATGTCATGTTTTAAGCTGAATTCAAGAAGTTACATGGACAAATGTAGTAATAAGAAAGTGAGCCGAGTGGGTCGTTAATGACCCAAATTCTCTATTTTTAAAAAGTTAGAGTCACACAGTATCGACCATATGTTTTTAACTTATGCTACAGTTTTTATTTTATTCTAACGTCTTTGTTTCTGAAGTAATAACCGAAAAACCGTGATGGGTCGTTTGCGACCCGGACGAGTGGGTCGTATGCGACCATAGCTGTATCTTTTAAAGTAAACGAGATACAGATTAGCTTTTTTGGATATCTCATTTTTGCTGTAAAGTGACCTAGTGTGTTAAACGGCATCAAAATCGGCAAACTTTAAAACTCGTCGTCCCTAATGGGTTAATCTGTCGTATTCGAGATTTCCATTTAGAATTAAAACAAGTCCTTCGTATTGTGGAGCCAGAAATCTGATAATTTATATTACATATTCCGATATTACATGTCAGGATTCATCAGAAATTCAGGAACCTAGCGATTATAAAATTCAGATAACATTGCTGGTTACTCTTCTATGCCGTGTTCAGTATTTTCAACTTTTCAATACCAGAATTTTTCAATGAACCAGAAATCTGTTAATTTATATTGCATATTCTGATATTAAACGGGTAGCTGATTTTGATAAAACAACATCGTGATCCGGCATGATCAATTATTTTAATTAAAGTACAACGGATGCACCCCTGACTTTTTAACTTAATAAGAGACGTATATCTTAGGACATTTGTAATTTGATAAAATTTAAAGTTTTGGTGTGTGAATTAAAGGTCTTTAAAACAAAACATATTACATGTCAGGATTCATCAGAAGTTCAGAAGCCTAGCGATTATAAAATTCAGATAACAATTACTGATTAATCTTTTATGCCCTGGAAGTAAATTAGCAGGACACAGTGGCCCTCGGGTCTTTAAAACAAAACATATTACATGTCAGGATTCATCAGAAGTTCAGAAGCCTAGCGATTATAAAATTCAGATAACATTACTGATTACTCAAGTTTATGCCCTGGAAGTAAATTAGCAGGACAAAGTTTGCCCCTTGTAGTCCAAATTTACATTACCTCATTGCTAGAATTCATTCCTAGAATCCATTCCTTAATTTAACAAATTTTCCAAGAATTCTTCCAGTTTCTCCCTCCTTGCATGTTGTACCCTCTTTGAGAGTGAGACCTATTACTGTTAGCATATTTTTCAAAATTTGCAGGACTTTTCCTTTGACCCTTAATTAAATTGGCACAACAAAATCTTTCTGGATTTATCATTTCACATTGTTAGATTTCAATTCTGGAAGCAAATTTCCTGTAATTTGTTTCGAGAGAATGCAATATGCATCCCTTTTTCGAACTACACTTATTTCGCAAGAGCTGCTTGCAGGCCCTAATATGCATTTAAGATCGTATTATTTTAATCGTTCTTGAAACTGTGATTGAAAATGATCTCTATTGCCAAATTGTTCAGCTAGGCCTATTACACGTTTTGCTGTTTTTGAAATTCAGGCTGTGGCCATAGCGCGTGCTAAATTTGAAAAACTCTAAGATTTTGGCACCCTCATGAAGAAAATCATTCCTACACCCCTGATTCACACCGTGGTTTGGTGGACGACCTGCATCCGACCAAATCGGTCCCCACTGGTAAATTGGTAATCGAACCCCGGTCGTCTGCGTGGGAAGCAAATGTATTAACCGCTAGTACTACACCACCCGGCCGACGTGACAGCACTTGCAATTTTCACTATTTTGATACCAACTGTCATAGTTTGTTTAGAGGTCGAGCCTAAAGTCATGACAAATGGCACAGTGTGTTTAGAGGTCGTGCCTGTACTCGCGACAACAGTCATAGTATGGTCGGGCCCTAAAACATGTTTTCCAAACAAATTTTCCAGGTTCTAATTCTCTCTCCAAAACCCCTAAGTTGGCACAACAAAATCTGGATTTATCATTTACTACAAATACAACGTGCATTCCTTCTCCCGTTCCTTTTTACGAACACCACTTATTTCGCAAGAACTGCTGGCAAGTCCTGA